GTACTTTATTGAATAATGATAAAATAACAGTGTATAGAAAATCCCTTTATCTAGCACTGTACAAACTGGACTCACGCGAAAAATAAAATTCATAGAGGAAAAAAGAAAAGTGGACAGTACATATACAAAACATGTATTGTGTATAGAAAGTAGTATACATTTGAACAACGCATGCGCTATTTGATTTTGTTTCGGATTTGTAGAAATAATTGAATAATTTCTTTCCTGAAGACACTACCACTTAGGGTATAAAGATAAAAGGGGACAGTATTAGTAACATATGTGAGCATAACGGCAACTTGGAACACAAAGTTTTCTATGGCTATGAGTACAGTGTCTGTTGAATAAGCCTGTGTGACTGTCAAAGATAATCTGGATAGGCCAACCGGTAAGATAAACACGGTGATGACAAAAATTTGAAGAAGGAGCATTTTTATTAATTGGGTATCGCGTTGTCTATTGGTTGCTACTGCTGCTGCACCAACTTCAACTGTGGCCGTCGACGTCGGCGCTACTTGTCGATGTCGATTTCTTGTATTTTTTATTGTCAGCGTCCCAAAGATAATCATACCTGCTACTGGTGTTAGACATTGGCCAAGTATTAAATAAATAACTGCATTTGTCTTACATGCATCAGTGTGATCAGTACACGGTGGTACTTGTCTGACATCTGCTGTTGAACAATAGAACACTCTACCATGAATGATACAAGTAGTGACGACCAGAACCATAATGGCCCGATAAGCCCCTTTTTGATTGCTATATTGGCGTACTTTTGCATTTCGGCTACTTGATAAATATCGATCAACAGTGGCCAAGGTAATGAGCCAAATGGACATGAATTGAGACGATTGTAGTACGAAAAATTTTAATTTACATATTGCTTGATTATACACTGTTGGGTCCGAACCAAAGCCCAATGTTACTCTTGCAAGTAAACCGACAAATAAGGCAAAAAAGTTGGCGATTGTTGAACAAAGGAATAGAATGACACACGGATTTTTACGCAACGCTTTACGTGTAAACACATAAACGTTGAGAGTATTACCAATCAAACCAAGTAGTAACATTGGCAATGGAGCATAACGATTCATTTGTGTTGTCATATCTCCCAAAAGTCGCATGATGGCTGTTGATGACATGATGCTTAAGTGATGATCTGAAACCGAGAATAAATTCAGAATCTAAAGAAGAATAAAGGTAGATCCGAATGCACCTTATTACAAAATGAGTATGACGTTTCTGAAGAAAAGATCTCATCAAATTTCGAAGTAGTATAGTGAATCAGAAGATTTTATCATATATGCATAGAAGGAATGAAAGGATTTGATGTCAGCCCATTTATAGCAATTATTTGAATCTCCAATATTGCTCTTATGCATCCTCAGTAACGAATTATTTTGTAAGTTTGTTATCAATTGATGAAATGATAACAAACTTACAAAAGAACTCATTTCCTGTTTATCGAATTTCAATGAAGAGGTTTTGAATGTAATGAGCAGAACAAGATCCATGATTGTTTCGACAATCTGGTTAAAAGCCGTCTCGTAAATCTTTGTGAAGTGATAAAAGGAGATTATGTTATATGTATTCGTTAGTGAAGATACATAAGAGCAATGTTGGAGACTCAAATAATTGCTATAAATGGCTGACACCGAAATCTCTCATTCCTTCTATGCATATATGATAAAATGTTCTGATTATGTCCCTTTTTATGAAGAAGTAACTCTCATTTTCTAACACGAGTTACGGACTAGAATACGTTATTGCCGAAAAGTGTCTGTAGCCTAAGAAAGCGGATGGAAAACTGAGTCGGAATGCATTTTACTCTAGTCTTGATCCAGAAGTCTATCGATTCTCCGATACAATCTAGCTGATTTTGAAGAACCTGGGACAAAACCTTCTGACCATATTTCTGTTAATTACGAAACCTCAACAAACGAACTATTTGTGTGATATTGTATCGATTCTCCGATAATTAACTACTTGTTTCAGTATCAGCACAGTTTGCATCGTAGAAAACCCCTTTTTCTCAATTCTGGTAAAAGACTTTTGTCCGGATTCGTAAACAAGATTGTATCGGAGAATCGATAGAATTTCGTGAGAGTTTTATAAGAATCTGGTAAAGGACTCGTACGATTTTCATAAAAAGTGCCCCTGAAAAGTGTGCTCATCAACAACTTGACATTGAAAGAAAAATGATTCTCTCTCTCAGAAACGGTGCAGGCGGAGCGAGTAGATTACTACGAACTGGATTCCTTTCCAAGCTACAAAACAAGCATTAAACTATTTATGTACATATCCCGAACAGGATAATATTCCAACCTGGATTTGAAAAATCATCGCGAAGTACATTCTTTATTTCTCATCCTTTTCCTCTATGTATGCCTGTGTTATTATTTTTGCGTCGTGTGAATTGAACGCGATAGAGTGACATACCTTGACGTCTGATTTCTACTTTTAAAAAAATGAAAACGAGATGTTGCCGGCTGAGGCCTCGTTTAAGTATAGAAGAAGAGACATTAAGCATATAACTTATACATTTCACACACAAAACTATGCTACACTTTAAACTTTCATAATTTTTTGGCATTTTAGAGCAGAAAAAATGCAGACCTCTCCGGTTTATGTACACTAAAAACTACGTTAACTTTTTTCGGTTATTTTTTTCTTACTTATTATCTATAAGACTGAACAGACATGGTGCAGGCAGTGCGAGTACATTACTCCGAACTGGATTCCTTTATAAGCTACTAAAACAAGCATTGAACTATTTATGTACATATCCCGAACAGGATAATATTCCAATCAGACTATTTTGTACATCCCAACCTGGATTTGAAAAGTCGTAAACGGTAGACTTCTGGATCAAGACTAGAGTAAAATGCATTCCGACTCAGTTTTCCATCCGCTTTCTTAGGCTACAGACACTTTTCGGCAATAACGTAACGACTTTTACGACAATGACTTTTCCGAAATGCTTTGTATACAATATCCCGATCAGGATGTAAATTTCCTCCGCTATCCCGTCTTGAATATATCGCATATCCGAACAGGCTACCTATCCTGATCGGCTTGTCGCTCTTGAGAGCGGACTATCGGAGATTTATAAATTACCAGTGGAATTGACTGCAATCACCGAACATGCACGGTTAAAAACCGCATCCATCAGAGGAAGCACGTTTGCTCGTTCTTACCGGAATAACAAATGCGAACGAAAAGGACGCAGAACTTGGGTAACTGTAACATAATTCTAGTGCGTAACTCGTGTTAGAAAATGAGAGTTACTTCTTCATAAAAAGGGACATAATCAGAACATTTTAT